GGATACTCCACCAGGACATTTAAAATTTCTATTCTTTCTATATTTTGCTCAAGTGTATAAAATTGAATTCGTGTGATTTGTTTGAATGCATTCATATTGTAATTCTGTTGTACCTCACCTCTCTGAAGCTGTTTTTTTCTGTGAAACAGAGCAATAACAGTCCTACATCATCAGATTATTGTGTACATTTACTAAGACAATGTGTGTAAAAATTTCAAAAATTGCTGCTATGCAAATGACATTTTCCACCTCCTTCCCTCTAACTTGCCCTAACTAGCTGTGTGGGTTGCAATGCTCTCAACAACAAAATGTGGGCGCTGTATTAGATGATTTCTAAGACTTCTTCTGTCCTGAAGCTTTGAGCGTAGTTCTGTGATACAGACATTTCAGTGCAGGCAACCGTCCAAGAATGCTGTGGCTTACAAGGTTTTTCCAGAACTTCTTTCCAGGACTGGTGAGGATCACTTCCACACAGAGCACTGTAGCTAGGTAAAGCTTTGAGAATTAAACATGCACCTTACCTTAAAGATCTTGTTACCTCTTCCATTTGAGCAGCACTAAGGGACACTACAACGGCTCTTGAACAAGCACAAGGCATCTACTTTCACTCCACCCCCACCACTGTCCTTCAGAGCCACTGCTGATGACCCAAACCTACCTGTGATGGGAGTCAACTTCCACCCCCACCTCCTGAAGGACACATGTACTGGATGGGTGGCCACTGGCCTTTGCCAGCTCCTTCCTGTTAGAAGGCAGTAGGGTAAAATGAAACAGGCTTTGGAGTTCAAGCCTAGATGGAGTTATCCCAGATCCTTGACTAGTTAAGAGAACTTCAGTAATCTAACCTGTTTTGCCATGTGAAACACCGAGATACATAGAAGCAGTCAGAGACCTTGGGCAGGATCAAAGCATTGGTGGAAAGATTTCCTTTCTGGGCTGTGACAGCCCTGAGGTTCAAATTCATTTCTACCAGAGAAGTTGACTAAGCATCTGTGAGCCTGCGTCCACAGCCACCAAACAAGGGCTATCAGCATTTGGAGTGGACTATTACTAGCTGTGCGTGGACTATTACTAGCAACCCAACATTGATCTCTCTCCTCAACTCCCAGCCCCACGCTACTCTAGCTTCCATGTCTGGCTCAAAGAAGTGTTTTGAATAGGAACACCTCCTGTCTGCCTGCTCAGGACCTGCAGAAAACTCAAATAGCCTGCATCTAACCCCAAGACTTCTTAAAGCACTGCCCAGCACTTGCCTGACCAGGGTTCCTCTTTCAGTGGTCTCCCTGAGATGGTTCTTGGGCCGCCATTTACTATTTGTCTTGGGCAAGTCTGCACCCATTGAAGGTAGAAATTGAGTCTGTTTTTTTTGGTCTCTGGATCTCTCGTGGGAGGGCCTGACAGTGCTCAGCCAAAGTTAAGAAATACTCTATTTCACCTTTTTAAAAATAGCTTTCTACAATGGCAGTGCCAGGACAACGCTGGAGTAAGACAAGTGGCAGGATGGGGGTGGGTCCCTTGGGAAGTAAGAGATAAGCTTATGAAAGATCATGGGACTTGGGAGTCGATGATCTAGACTGAATTCTCAGCTCTGCCACTTGCCAGCTCCAAAATCTGGACAAATCACTAATGTCTATGTTGGTTCTGTGTCTATAAAACGTGGACTATTTACTCACCACAGCACTTGGCACATAAAGAAAACTACTTCATAGATTGATGGTAAGCACTGTCACGTCAGGTCTGACTCAGTGACCCTGCATAAGATTTCCAAGGAGTGGTTGGTGCTTAAGTACTAATAATGTTACTAACATAAAAAAGTAGTATTAGCCTTTTATTAGTAGTATCAACTAGAATAATATACAAGTGTTAATATCATCCTAGGTAACAATACTTCTATCTAAGATAATAATAATAGACTAATACTAGACTTTTTTATGTGCCAGGTACCATTCTATTTGAGGCTCCGAGAAATTAAATAGCTTCCCCAAGTTCACAGAGCTAGTAAGGTACTCAAAAAAGGACAGCAATTACTGTCATGAGCCAGAAATGACGGGACACAATCTCACAGATTCCAGGGACTAGCACCAGTCTTGCTTCCTCAATTGCAACAAATGACACAAAGCAGTCAGTGTTGTAAATAGAGTTAACATAATATATTTATTTTAAGTGCCATTCATGCATATCAGTTCTGGCAGCAACAATCCTAATGACACTTAGAATAGCTCTTTACAGCACTAAACAATTACAAAGAAAGGGTGCCGTTCATCATAGAGGCAAAATATGAAATCGTGCAATAGCAAAACTGTAGAAACATTAAAACACTGACTGTCCAACAGCAGTACGGAGAGCAGGTTGTGTTTGCACAAAAAGCCAATGCATTTTCATCACATATATACAATATAGATATGTACACATCACCCTCTGAATGAACAATATCAAAATACTCTATTCCATTTGAAATAATCCCGGATTAACTCCCTCCCACTTCAAAGGACATCTGAGACAAGTATTTACAAAAACACACATGAATACATTTACATTTCAAAAACTACCACAAATGCCAGTTGGATTATTCTCCTGGACAGAGTGCCCCATTTGATTGCATGCATTTATTATTCGTTTCCCCAGAAGTTTTCAGTCAATTTAAGTCCAAGACAAAACTTGCTCTGCATTAACCACCACCTACTGAACTAGCCACTAGAGGGACTCCGTGGACCTCACCAGGCAGTCCGTCCAGTCTAGCTTGAGTTCCACTGACAAGGCCTGTCCTGGGCTGCCAGGCCCCCGGAATCACAGGACAGTGGGATGGGTCTGGGTGGATGGACGGCTCTAGAGCTACTGTCAGTAAGGCTAAATTCTCATAAAAATATTCATCACTGAAAATCAGTTTATGATTCACAAATAGGAAATTTATTTCACACAATTGGTAAAATCTTCACCAGTGGATTCAATCCAAATCACTCAGTATAAGAGACTGCATTCCAATACCCATACTGTTTAAAGTGCATGTTGCAACCAAAACAATTTAAACCCGCTATATTGGTGTCTAGAAAACAGTGACTTGAGCAAACTATTGAAAATCCCTTCCTTTTCCTCAAATGTTTACTCTGCAGGCTGCTAGCTCATCTTGCCTCTGATCCTTTCAAGAGGGGCCTGTTGTCTGCATTTCTAAAATACTCTTAATTTTTGCTGATCTAAGGAGCTGGAACTGAGCTTTTCATAGCAAGCAGAGTCCAAACAATGGAGGAACATAAAGACCCCCTTTCTCTACAACTTTACCAGCCCTTACTGTGGCTGGCTTCCCAGTGATTCATTCAAGGCAACACTCCATTTAAAAAAAAAAAAAAAACAAGCATAAAATATACACACACACGTTCACAAACACACACAAAAACCAAATATGTTTGTTTGGTTCAAGTAAAATTATTCAACCACAGAATCACTAAGGTTAATTAAAGTAATCGGAACATGGCTGATAGAGATCAGAGCTGCAAAATGCAGACAGAAAGTTATTATGCCTTGATCTGACGAAATATTTCCCCAATAGAACGGATTTTTTTTTGGGGGGGGGGGGTGTCTAAAGAACTAATTCAAAATCTAGTCATTTAAAATTTTATTTCTTCTAGCTGTACTGTAAAACCAAGACAGTCAACAAAGTAGCTGTGATATAAATAAAATACAACCAACCAATCAAAAAATAATCCTTAAGAAGCAGGCTGCATTTCAAAGAATGTGACCCAATGTCACACATACACACAGGACAGATATGACAGTAGAAATGGCAGGAAATTACCCATAACTACACGGAAGAGAGAGGCAAGCAAAATCTAAGTGGTCCTGGACTCTCTGTTATTTAAATGGAAAGAGGATGAGAGGGAAAATTTGTTTTATAAACCTTGCCCTGCTGTTCTGCTGCCCAAAGGAACTCTGATTCAAATCCCAGTAAAACCCTCCTCAGCTAATAAGTCTCAATCAGCAGGAATGCTAAAAGAAATACACTCACATGGTAAAAGGAGTAATGATCAAGAAAAATCACACCATCTCTCTGATTGTCTCGTCTGTAAACTCTCATCAAGAAAAATAACTCTGTGCTTTCAGATACTGCAATTCTCTTTAGTGAACCCAACTGGAGCTGAGCATTCATGGACGGTAATAATAAATATGAAAACAACACTTTAAAATAATAAATACATCAGTGAATGCAGAGGCAATGATCTGTTTAAAAAGTAAAACATGCCCAGATTCTAGTTGAGCAAATAAATTTTAGAGACACTACAATGTAGATTTAGGAAAACAGACATTGACAAGGTATGACAAAAACTCTAGATTCCCCCACGCAGGAAAAGAAATTTTGGTCAGTTCTCTCTGCTGCTCAGGAACAGCATGCCCCTGTAGATTATTTGGAGAATATGAAACTCAGTCTGGGTTCCTGACTTACTGAATAGGCTTCACTACCCACATTTCTGAAAGGGATTAAATAAGCGGAACTGGGTTTCAGAAAAATCTGTTTCCTTTCAGTTGCTTGTATCAATGAAATGCATCCTGCAGAAAACAGTCTAACAAGGGATAAAAACTCACAGTAACTTTCTTTTCAAGACATAATAACCCAATTCTTTAAAAAAGAACATTGAAACCTTTCAGTAATTTTTGTAAATATATTTACACACATGGATCTAGAAACTGCTCGCACAAAATAGGCTCTGTCTGAAAAACCAGTCTGGCACTTGTGGTCAACATCAAACTGACACAAATATGCAAAAGCCGTCCAAATCACACAACACTTAGGAGCTACATAGGGCAGCTGGCAGGGAGACAAACATGTAGTATTTGTTTGGGTCAAATAAAAGCAGTAAGTCATCCAGCTAATTTTTTCTGTTTTGATTGTCTTCAAAATAAATTTTGATAACATTGCAACTTTGTTTTCTCGACTGGATTCTCTTAAACCTTTCCCTTCACTGCACAGAAAGGTGACATTGGGGTTTGGAGCCTTGCAGAAACAAGCCCTACACAATTGAATCCCAATCAAAGTCATCCTGGATGTCGTCTGGAGGCAGGGAGCGCCGCATCTGGAAGGCTTGGGAAGGCATCATGTGCTGCTGGTTCATGGCTCCATGGTGGCCTGCGAGAAAGGAGGCCATGTCAGTAGGAATGTGGTAGGCTAAAAAAGGAGCCAACTAAACCCCGACTAGCATGTTCTATGTGCCAGGTACTCAGAACACATTATTTCACTAATCTACCCCTAAATCTTCAACAAGGTAGCTATGATAGAAGCTCCTCATTTACGGTTTAAGAGGATTAGCCAGTTACTCGAAGTCATAGAGCTAGTAGTGAGTGACAGAGACAGGATCTGAACTCAGTTCACGTAATGCTGCCACAATCCACGTTCTTTCCATTACAGTAGGCTGCAGGAAGGAAAGTATAAGAGTACATGTGTGCCCAAGTGCTAATGCAAACCATTTCTTTTACAATCTGTTCTGTTGCAACAAGTGTTTCAGTTCCACAAACAGGAGAATGATGTGAGCATAACATTGAAGTGACACTGGGGCAAACTGAATTTTTCCCACCAAGTTAATTTTTGTGTCACCAAGTAACAGCAGATGAACACTGACACCACGACGGAAGGAAAACCCTGAGGAACAGCGGGTGCACATGCTAGCTGCTCCCTTCATACTGGTCTTCCTGGATCAGTTTTCAGTTTTGCCATGTGCTCAGTTTGTGCTTCCCAATTTGCTGAATTCTGTCTTCATCTCCATAATTTGACAGCCTCCCTTCTAAACAAACTTTCTCTTTTTAAAATCCTGTATTTGTTTAAAGAGTTCATTCTTGTACTAGGAATTAAGCATAGCCTTTTAACTGTGCTGGTATTTTTTCTGATTCTTGTTTTTGCTAGTACTCTGATTACATAGCACTATTACTAATCTTATTATTTTCTTTTCAGCTCTATACTCTTTTAAGACAAATTACAAAATGCTAAGGTTTTCAGCATATCACAGTACCACAGAAATGCCTTTATTTATTTCATTTATTTAACACTTGCAAACGCCTTACTATGTTCCAGGTGCTAATTTAAGCTTTAGCTATAACCCTCATTTGATCCCCTCCTAACAAACCTTGGATTTAAGCACTTTGTAGGGTAAGTACTGGACTGTGAACCACTGGGTCAACAGTTCAAACCCACCAGCCGCTCCTTGGATATCCTATACAACGTTGCTATGAGTTGGAGCCAACTTAACGACACTTAACAACAACAGACAGGGAAGATGAGACTGGAGGCTTAGGCAGCTTGTCCAACATCACACAGCTAAGTGATGACGCACTGGGATTCCAGTCCTGGTCATCTAGCTTCAGAATCTTAACCACCATATCCTGCCGCCTATAACGTACTGGTGAGAGCCCCAGGACAGATAACACGTTATTGCTTCCCTTCTTACTTGGCCCCAACTCTTCCTTTACGACTGCCTGGCACACAGCTCTGCCAGGGTTTTACATCCCCACCCCACCTTATCACCATTACCTTTAGTCTTTTCCTCACTTGGCCTAAGTAAATGGAAGTGTGATATGAGAAGAGCAGTGGACTCTGAATTCAGACATTTTAGCTTAAGTCTGGTCAGTTACAAAACTGAGTGGCCTTGGACACATTATGTCCCTTTCTAAGTCTCCATTTTCTCATCTAGTTTCTCCTTAAGACCTTTCTAGTTAACAGTGTCCTATTCGCCTGCTTAATGTACTCTTTCCTACACTCCAGAATCTAATGGAAAAAAACATTAGTATGTTAGTTAACTCTTAAAGCTTACCTCCTCTATGAGGTACTTCTCTAAAATCTGTAGTTGGGTGAAATCCATTGGAGTGATTGGGATAGTCTATAGGGGCTAATCTAACTAGGTTCTTGCAATTGACTAAAGTCCTGTCAAAATAAAAGAGCCTCAAGGAAATTTAAGACCCTAAAGCAGCACTATGTCTCTGGACCTCTTAGAGAAACAGGACAGTAACTAGAACCATATAGCCTTGGGGAGTTCTGGTATGGCTCTGTGGGTTAACGCACTGACTGCAAAGTTGGTTGGAAGCACAAGGTCGGAAGCTCAAGCTCACCAGTCGCTCCTTGGAAAATCCTACACAGAGTTGCTATGAGTAGGAACTGACTCAACAACCACCTTGGGTTAAAAGGGACTTTAGGTGATACAGTCTAAATACTGACACTTGAATCCCTTCACTAGCACTGGACTAAGGAGACAATGACAGGAAGTTCATTCCCTTCTAGTTGAACACCTCTGAATACACACACACATACACACACACTCTAGATTACATTACCTGTGATCGTCGTTCCTGGAGTGCTGAGTGTCTGTGGGATGTGAGGATAACCAGGGGATGGCATCACTGAAGGAGGAAGATTTTGCCTAGAGTCTATATACAAATTGCCTTAAGCAGAAAGAAGAAAGTATGTTACTATACAGTAAAATCAAGCATTAAAATCTTAATAGAATTGTTATCTAGAACTAAACTAAGTAGGTAATGTGAGGAGAGAAATGGAAGAAAAAAATTACTCTTTAGATGCTAAGACTGTCAAAATGTTGGCCGTTTGAAGAGACCGCCAGGCTGGAGGTTAGTATGCTAGTACTAATTGTAGCTCTCCCACTAAGTCTCTGTAAACTTGTAGGCACATTATATCTGTGTCAGCTGTTGCCATGTGCGCTTCATTACAGTTCAAAGTCATTTCATATCCATTACTTCATCTGAGACACTCAGCAAACCCTTGAGGAGGACAAAACAAGATTATCCCCATTTTACAGCACAGAAGGGTCAAATGAGTTGTCCAAAGATACATCAGTTAGACAGAGAGCTAGTATTGCTAGAATCCAGACCTCTTAATTCACAGGCTCTATGAACCACTTTCTCTGTTGCCCAGATTTTCTCACCCTCAAAGAAGATGTAACCCTGCCCTTGTTATGGTCACCATAAAAGGACTGAAAAGATTTACAAAAGCTATGCCAAGTGAAAGTGATTAAAATTGCAATATTCTGAGTATGGAGATGGGAAACACGGAGCTCATTTAAATGGTATTTCAGAAAGTTCTTTATATATTAAAGAAGTTAGGTGTTAACACCTCTAAAATGTCAATTACATTATGCCATATAGCATAACAGACAGGGAGAGGGAAGCAAACATTATGACACCACCCCACTGACTCCCAAGTAACTAACTCATGAGGAAGAACAACCATAAAAACTGGTCCATGTTACAAAGCACATCTGGAATCTGGGAAAAATTGTTTTCCTAACGTTTATTATTACTTCACACAAATGACACTTGCATCTTAACACTGCTGTCATCAAACTAAAAAAAAAAAAAAGCACAAATAATTTTCTCACAAGGAACTAAAATGGGGAGAAAAATAATCTTTTCAAGGTAATGTGTATTTGGTTGGACCAGACAAGAGGATAGAACCCAGGACCTCTGACCCTTAACCACTGACTCCCAGGATGAGATTCCTTTACGTACATACTCTACAATCAGACTCAAGCTCTTTAATCAATTGTTGCTGTTGCTGCTGTTACGTGCCATCGAGTTGGAACCAACTCATAGCGACCCTATACACAACAGAACAGAACACTGCCCAGTCCTGGACTAACCTCACAACTGTTGCCACATTTGAGGCCACTGATGCTGTCACTTTGCCAATGCATCTTGCTGGGGGTCTTCCTCTTTTTCTCTGACCCTCCACCTTACAAAACATGATATCCTCTCGAATGACTGGTCCCTCTGGACAGTATGTCCACAGTATAAGAGACGAAGTTTGGCCATCCTGACCTCCAAGAAGCACTCTGGCTGCACTTCTTCTAACATGGATCTGTTGGTTCTTTTGGCAGCCCATGGCACTTTCAGTATTCTCCTCCAACATCATAACTCAAATGCATCAATTATTCTGTGGTCTTCCTTATTCACTGTCCAGCTTTCGCATGCATATGAGGTTACTGAAAATACCATGGCTTGGGTCAGGCGCACCTTACTCCTCAAGCTGACATCTTTGCTCTTCAACACATTAAAAAGGTCTTGTGTAGAAGATCTGCCTAATGCAATACGTCGTTTGATTTCTTGGCTGCTGCTTCTGTGAGTGTTGATAGTTGATCCGAGAAGAATGAAGTCCTTGACAACTTCAATCTTTTCTCCGTTGATAAGAATGTTGTTTATTGGTCCAGTGGTGAGGATTTTGGTTTGATGCAATCCACACAGAAGGCTGTGGTCTTTGATCTTCTTCAGTAAGTATTTTAACTCCTCTTCACTTTCAGCAAGCAAAGATGTCATCTACATATTGCAAGTTGTTAATGAGTCTTCCTCCAATTCTGATGTCACTTTTTTCTTCATATAACTCAGCTTCTCGGATTATTTCTTCAGCATACAGGTTGAGTAAGTATAGTGAAAGAATACAACCTTGTTGCACACCTTTCTTAATTTTAAACCATTCAGTGTTCCCATGTTCTGTTTGAACAACTACTTCTTGGTCCAGGTACAGATTCCTCATGAGCACAATTAAGTGTTCTGGAATACTCATACTTCGCAATGTTGTCCATAGCTTGTCATGATACACACAACTGAAAGCCTTTGCATAGTCAATAAAGGACAGGTAAACATCTTTCTGGTATTATCTGCTTTCAGCCAAGATCCATTGGACATCAGCAATGATATCCCTCATTCCACGTCCTCTTCTGAATCCAATTTGAACTTCTGGAAGTTCTCTATCAATGTATGATTATAGACGTTTCTGTATTACCTTTAGTCAAACTTTACTTGCATGGGATATCAAAGAGATTGTCTGGTGATTTCCGCATTCCGCTGGGTCACCTCTCTTTGGAATGGGCACAAATATGGATCTCTTCCAATCAGTTGGCCAGATAGCTGTCTTCCAAACTTCTTGACATAGATGAATGAGTGCGCCTCCAATGCCGCCTCACTACGTGAAAAATTTCAATTTTTATTCCATCAATTCTTGGTGCCTTGTCTTTGCCAATTCCTTCAACGCACCTTGGACTTCTCCCTTTAGTATCATTGGCTCTTGATAATATGCTACCTCTTGAAACAGCTGAACATCAACCATTTCCTTTTGGTACAGTGACTCTGTATATTCCTTCCACCTTATTTTGATGCTTTCTGCATCATTCAATAATTTGCCCAAAGAATCCTTCTATAACCAAAGCGGAGGCTTCAATTTTTTCTTCAGTTCCCCAGCTCAAGAAATGCTAAGTGTGTTCTTCCCTTTGGATTTTCTGACTCGAGATTTTTGCACATTTCGTTGTAATATTTGACTTATCTTCTGCAGCTGACCTTTGAAATATTCTGTTCAGCTCTTGGACCTCCTCATTTCTTCCATTTGCTTTAGCAACTCTATGCTGGAGAACTAGTTTCAGTGTCTCTTCTGACATCCATTTTGATATTTTCCTTCTTTCTTGTCTTCTGAATGACTTTTTACTTTCTTCCTGTATGATATTCTTTATGTCATCCCACAACTCTTCTGACCTTTAGTCTTTAGTGTTTAATGTATCAAATCTGTTCTTCAGATGGTCTCTAATTTCAAGTGGGATATATTCAAGGTCATATTTTGACTCTCGTGGACTTGTTTTCATTTTCTTCAGCTTCTGTTTGTATCTGCATATGAACAATGATGGTCTGTTCCACCATCTGCCCCAGGCCTTGTTTTGGCTGATGATATGGACTCCATTGTAGAAGGCTGCATTCATCAGAGTAAGGACTTTCTTTGGTTCTTACTGAGAAAAATGGGCATCAACCGAGGATTTTGAGCCAAGAAGAGACAAGATCTAACGTCTGAGTTTGGAAAGCCCACATATCCTTCAGAATTCAGCTTAAATGTGTCTCCTATCAAGTCTTTCTCCCCAAGCCACTTAGCTTCTTTTCTCGCTATCCTTATTGAACTTAAGTTTTATGACAGAAGTATAGACCTCGTCATACTGTATTTTCTTAGTGGCCCTACCTCACAGATCATGCTGTGAAATCTTTCAGATCAGGAGATATTTTGGAATCATCCCTCTTATTCCGAGTTCCCAATACATTGCCCAAAAAAGGAATAGATAAATGCTTGCTTAATGAATGCATGAATGCACATATTTAATAACCTTTCAACAGAAAATCAAATTAATGCTAGCACGAATAAAAAACCAAACATCAAACCCACTGCTATCTAATCAATCCCTGTATAGGATTTCTGAGGTCGTAAATCTTTACAGAAGCAGAAAGTCTCATCTCTCTTCTGCAGAGTGGCTGTTGGGTTTGAATTATTGACCTTGTGGTTAGCACTCCAGTGCTTGTCTAGCTAGAGGATTTAATGTTATTGGACAATACAAATGGTAAACGTAGAGTAAAATGATTTTAAAAAAACAAGTTAGACACTAATGACTGTTTTTCTCCTTTCTACACTAATACACTAAACTCTTGGATTCTCTTAAGAAGCTCAGAGAAGTGTTCACCAAAAGGGGGAACCTTGAAGATAGGAGTTAACAAAGAAAGCTTAAAGGCTATGGAGAGGCTGCAAGCTGGGAGTCAAATCTGTTAAATCCGAGCCACGAACTTTTTTTCTGCCAAAATTTATAACATTCGCGGGCCAAACAAAATTATCCACCTTTAAAATTAGCCTGCTATATTTAGTCAAACATTTAATTAATTCAATAGCGTAGTGGTTACGAATCGGGCTGCGAACCGGAAGGTCAGCAGTTCCGCGGGAGAAAGATGAGGCGATCTGCTCCCATAAAGATTTACAGCCTCGGAAACCTTATTCAGGGTCGCTATGGGTCGAAACCGACTCGACGGCACTTAACAACAACAACAACAACAATGTGATGTCTAGGAGTCCTGGTGTGGTACTATCGGTTAATGAGCTGGACTGCAAAGTCAGTTTGAACCACAAGGTCAGCAGTTCAAGTTCAGCAGCCACTCCTTGGAAACCCTATACAGAGTCACTATGAGTCAGAACCGACTCGATGGCACTTAACAACAACATGACAGCTGGAACTGCAATTGCCCTGGCAGGGCCAGAGCACAATTTTGCCGGCTTTATACGTTACACGGGCCAGATATTCTCTGCCTGTGTTAAACAAAGACAGAAAACAGTTCTCTAAAGTGCTTCTTTGTACTACATTTCTAAGAAACTGGGGCAAATACACTCTATACTGAGGTGTAGCGATGAGAAAAGTAAGATATCTGAATGAGTATGATAAATAGGAGTGCAAAAAGAAGATAACAAGAACAAAAGAAAGAGGCTTAGCGATATAAAGCAGCAGCAGACTGGGTACAGATAAACTGAACATTCATGAAAAGAAATCAGAAGGCACAAGCGATGATAGATATTTGGAGCACCAGAATTAATCAGAGAAAGGTTTGGCAGACCAAGTCTAGCTGAATGACGTTCCCTGGGATCTGGATGAATAGACTAAAGGTGGTGCAAAGAGTAGAGGAAAAAGAAAAATAAACACCGAGAAAAATCTATAGCTTTTCTACCTTTAGTAAGCTGTGATTAGGGTAGCAAAAAGGAAGTATGAGGACTCTAGAGACAAAAAGGGCCCAGTTAATGAAAAAGAAAGGTGGCAGGGGATTTTTTTTTTTTAAAGGTGGAAGAAAATCACAGAATGCCAAAACCAAAAATTAAGAAGTTTGGTAGCAAATTGGTTTTATGAAAATAACGCAGGATCAGTCTGTAGAGAATTCAGAAAGGTACTGGTCTAATCTCTCCAGCAGACAGCAGAAAATGCATAGTGCTTTTTCTAAGACGAAGATGTACACTTGGGACTTTTTTTTTTTGAGATTTAGGACTCAAAATTAAAGAAACTTTTGTTTCACCGCACAGGTCTCAAATTCCAAAAGTAGAAGTTCCTGATACATTAGCCTTTTGAAGAAAACCTTCCTCTCAAGACCGACCCACCTTCTCTTCCTTGAACTCCCCGACATGCCTTCAAAAGTCTATTTGACTCGTAGCTACCTTACGTATGTCAGAGTACAACTGTGCTACCGAGGGTTTTCAATGGCTGATTTTTTTTTTTTTTTTTTTAACGAAGCAGATTACCAGGTCTTTCTTCTGGATGGATTTAAACCACTAACTGTTTGGTTAACAGCCAAGCACCTAGCTATTTGTGCCACCCATAAATTCTGATGTAAGCATTACAACTCAAATTCCCTTAACGTTCTTTAAGGCAGACTGAAATGGATTTGGAAAAGAAATCCATGGCAGCACTTAGAAGGCACAGTCTTAGTAGAAAAGGGAAAGAGACGAAGAAAGGAGCAACAAAGGACAAAGAACTGAAGGAGTCAAACACACGTAGTCTAGGACTTAAAAGCATGTTGGAAAAAGTAAAAGTGACAATCTTGAAAGAGACAAGTTATGGGCTTAGAACCTATCAAAGGATAATAAAAGGTAAGATACGAACATGAATTCATTTGGAGAAGATTTAAAAATATTAAATGGAAGAAAACAAATAAGAATATATGCTGAATTACATAGATTGATATTCTGAAATTAATACATCAGCTAGATACTAAAAATGAAGTGAGTCCTAAGATACAACACCAAAAGCAGGAGCAACACAAGAAAATATAAATAAATTGGGCCATCAAAGTTAAAAAGTCTTCTGTATCAAAGGACATTATCAAGAAAGGGAAAAGACAATCTACGGAATGGAAAAAATATTTGAAAATTCTATATCTGACAAGGATTTAATATAAAGGAATCCTACAATTCAAAAATAAAAGGAAGAATCCAATTAAAAAATGGACAAAAGAGTTGGACATTCTCTTACAAGGGTAAACAAATGGCTAATATTCACATGAAAATGTGCTTAATGTACTACTTCACACCTACAAGAATGACAATTTTTTCTAAAAAATACATGTTGGTGAGGATGAAGAAAAATTAGAGCCCTCATCATCCTTACTGGTAGGAATGTACAAAATGTTCAGAAGCATCAGAAGAAAACATTTTATATATGCAGATTTACCATATGACCAGCAATTCCAGCATATCAAAAACTTATAAATGCAGATTTACCATATGACCAGCAATTCCACCCCCTAGGTATATGTCCCAAAGAATTAAAAACTAGAATTCAAACAACTGTATGCCTATGTTCACTGCAGCATAATACGCAACAGTCAAAAGGTAGAAACAACCCATGTGTCCATCAGAAGATGAATGGATAACTAAAATGTGGGTTCAGAGCAAAACATCAATGAAATTATTTAATGTCATATTGACTTCTAAAATAAGTGTTGAATCTTATTTACATTCTCTGAGGATAGTCAAGGCATTTTGATTTTCATTTCAAGTATATACAGGTTTAATTGATATAACTTAATAACTATGTTCCTAGGAACGTAGGCCGTGTCTTTAAGACATTTAATTCTTCTTTGATAATAATAAAAGTTAAAGATCACAAATTGTGAACGATAATCATACAAACCACTACAGAGAAGCATAGTCTCTTTACTTCTATTTTTTAAATGCTATCATTCACTTTTTGCAAGTAAGAAGATGTAAGTGAACCACTGTCACTATTAATTATGCACTAAGTTGCCCAAGTATAAGAGACAAGAAGAAAAGCAGGAGATAATTAAGCCCATACCTGTTCCAATGTGCTGGGAAGGCTTTGTAGGATGCATGGCACCATGACAGACATTTTGCTGAACATTACTCTGTGAGTGGATAAGGCCAGTTTGTGTAAAGAATTGATTAAGAGAAGAACAGAGATCAGCAAATTGGACTTGATCTAAAGACCAGTTCTTGAGATCTGCTTGTCTCATACTCTCCATCAAACCTGTGAGGAAAGCATTCAAAATTCAGTTAGCACAGTTCTGCAAGCACTGCAAGACAAATAACCAGATACAGGTTTTTTTTAAAAATGTTTTATTATGAGCTATGTGATAGTTTACATGGGAGAACATTAGCTTTGCATTCATCCTATCGTACGTATATCATTTTATTGCCATGGTTACAATCCCCTCCATGCATCATCAACTGACCAAAGGGTATACCCTGCAAGCCTGCCCCCCAGTCATCAGCACACAGCCCCACTCTCTGGGTCTAGAGTCCCCAGCCACTCCATTTCTCCAGATATAGTTTTATTGAGCCCACAAAATTTCTATTGCTTCATTGAGAATTAGAGTAGTGATTTACCCATGAAATGAATAACAACTTAAAATTGTTTAGAGCCTAATTCTTTTAAATAGTACAAATTTCTTTCAGAAATATTGTCTGTGATCCTATGTATGCTACATCAATTGACCCAGAGACTTTACTGGGAATTCTGCAAGATGCTGTTTTTAAGTATGAGTCAGAACCAACTCAATGGCACTTAACAACAATGATCCAGTACAATGGTCCCAATCCACCACTTGTTTGTCAGTTCGTCTGTGGTGACTTGCATGTTGCTGTGCTGCTTGAAACTATACTATCAGCATGCAAAATACCAGCAGGGTCACCCACAGCGGAAAGTTTTCAGTGGAGCTTCCAGACTAAGAGCAGGAGGAACATGAAATGGACTACTTCTGAATATTTACCCACTGAAAACCTTATGAATAACAGCAGAACATTATCACATACAGCGCTGAAAGACAAAAACATCAAGTACAGCACCAGAAATTGGTCAGATATAGTGCCAGATGATGAGCCCCTTAAGTTAGAAAGGCACTCAAAATCCAAGAGCCTCCTCAAAGTAGACTTGATCACGATGACACAAATTGAATAAAACCTTTGAAACCTTAATTTGTTGATAAGCTACAATTCAAACTGAGGAGTAACAGCTGCAAACATCCATTAATAATTGGAACATGGAATGTAAAAAGTAGAAATCTAGGAAAACTGGAAGTTGTAAAAATGAAATGGAACACATAAAAACGGATATCCTAGGTATTAGTGAGCTGGTATTGGCCATCTTGAATCTGACAATCATATGGTTTACTATGTCAGGAATAACAAATTGAAGTAGAATAATGTAGCATTTAACATCAAAAAGAGCATTCCAAGATAAATCTTAAAGTACAACACTGCTTGTGATAGGATAATATCCATATGCCTACAAGGAAGACCAGTTAGTATCAGTATTATTCAAATTTACGCGCCAACCACTAAAGCCAGTGATGATGAAATTGAAGAATTCTACCAACTTCTTCAGTCTGAAATTGATGAAACATGCAATTAAAGCGTATTACTGGTGATTGGAATGCAAAGGTTGGAAACAAAGAGGAAGATCAGTAGTTGGAAAATATGGCAATGGTGATAGAAATGTTGGAGTTCTCATGATATAACTTTCTAAGACTAATGACTTCATTGTAAATACCTTTTCAAAACAACATAAAAGGCAATTATACACATGGACTGTATCAGATGAAATACACATGAATCAAATTGACTATATCTATGGAAAGAGATGGTGGAAAAGCTCCACATCATCAGCAAAAGCAAGGCCAGGGCTCTACTGTGGAAAAGACCATGAATTGCTCATATGCAAGTTCAGGCTGAAGCTGAAGAAAAGTAAAATAAGTTCACAAGAGTGAAAATATAGTCTTAAACATATCCCACCTGAATTTAGAGACTATCTCAAGAACAGATTTGATGCATTAGACACTAATGACCGAAGACCAGAAGAGTTGTGGGATGACATCAAGAATATTACACAGAAAGAAAGCAAAAGATGATTAAAAACACATGAAAGAAAGAAAAAGCCAAAATGGGTATCAGAAGAGACTCGGAAACTAACTCCAACGTGGCGATGCTAAAGCGACTGAGAGAAATGAGGATTCAAAGAGCTGAACAGAAAATTTCAAATGGCAGCTCAAGAAGACAAAGTCAAGTATGATGATGAAATGTGTAAAGATCTGGAGTTAGAAAACCAATAGAGAAGAACACACTTAGCATTTCTCAAGCTCAAAGAATTGAAGACAGAAATCCAAGCCTCAACTTGTAATATTGAAGTATTCTATGGGCAGAAGTTCTGGTGTGGCACTGCAGCTTAATGAGCTGGACTGCAAGATCTGCTTGAACTGCAAGATCGGCAGTTCTGCTGTAAGACCAGCCACTCCTCGGAAGCCCTATACAGGGTCACTATGAGTCAGAACCGATTCAACAGTACTTAACAACAAACAACATGAACAAAATATTGAATGATTCAGGAAGCATCAAAAGAACATGGAAGGTATACACAGAGTCACTGTATCAAAAAGAAATGGTCAATGTTCATCCATTTCAAGAAGCAGCATATGATGAAGAACTGATGGAACTGAAGAAAGTCTAAGGTACACTGAAGGTATTGGTAAAAGACAAGGCTCCAGAATTGATGAAATACTAATTGAAATATTTCAACAAACTGATGCAGCACTGGAGGCACTCACTCAATTGTGCCAAGAAATTTGGAAGACAACTATCTGGCTGACTGATTGGAAGAGATCAATATTTGTGCCATTCCAAAGAGATGTGATCCAAAAGAATGCAAAAATTATGGAACAATACATTAATATCACATGCAAGTAAAATTTTACTGAAGATAATGCAACAATACATTCACAGGAACTGCCAGAAACTCAAAATGGATTCAGAAGTGGATATGGAACTAGGGATATCACTGCTGATGTGAGATGTTTATATGTGCTTTATTGACTATGCAAGGCTTTTGACTGTGTTGATCATGACAATTGGTTAACACTGCAAAGAATGGATACTCCAGAACACTTAAATGTGCTCATGAGGCCAAGAGGCAGTTGTTCAAACAGATCAAGGGAATACGGAATGGTTTAAAATCAAGAAAGATGTGCGCTACAGCTATATTCTTTCACCTACATTTATTCAATCTGTATGCTGAGCAAATAATCCAAGAAGCTAGACTATATGACAAATATGGCATTAGGATTGGAGGAAGACTCATTAATATCCTGAGATATGCAGATGATACAACCTTGCTTGCTGAAAAGAGGACTTAAAATACTTACTGATATAGATCAAAGACCACAGCTTTCAGTTTGATTGCCCTTCAATGTAAAGAATATAAAAATCCTCATAAATCGTCCAATAAATAACATCATGATAAATGGAGTAAAGTTTGAAGTTATCAAAGATTTCATTTTGTTTGGGTCCACTAACAACACTCATGGAAGCAACAGTCAAGCAATCAAATGTATTGCATTAGACAAATATGCTGCACAAGATCTCTTCAAATCATTAAAGAGCAAAAGAGGACTGAGGTGTGCCTGACTGAAGCCACAGTATTTTCAGATGCCTCATATGCATGCGAAAGTTGGACAATGAACACGGAAGACCGTATAATAATTAATGCAACTGAGCTATGATGTTGGGGAAGAATATTGAAAGTACCATGGACTGCCAGAAGAACAAAGAAATCTGTGTTGGAAGAAATACAGCCAGAATGCTCGTTAGAAGCCAGGATGGTGAGGCTTCACCGCTAATATTTTAGGCATATTATCAGGAGAGACCAGTCCTTTGAAAAGAACATTATGTTGGTAAAGTAGAGGGTCAGCAAAAAAAGAGGAAGACCCCCAATGAGTTAGATTGTTACAGTGGCAGTAGCTATGGGCTAAATCACAACAACTGTGAGAACAGCGCAGAACTGGGCAGGGTTTTATTCTGTTATGCAGAGCTGCTATGAGTCGGAACGGACTCGATGGCACCTAACAGCATGATCCCAAGACATTAAAAAAAAAAAAAAAAAATGCTATATACACAGGGAGGTACACAAAGGCTAAAGGAGACATATATGTTAATGGAGGTATATATATAACCTTGGAACAACAGTGTTCTGTGTGTAGATACATGGACAAAGACATGGGCTGAATGGGTATGGGAGGAAGAGTGGAATATATATATATATTTATATATGCCACAAATATATAGGGATTTGAAGGAGGATATTCAAAAGGCACTTAACAACAACAAAAACAACCATAGGTAGGAAATGGGGAGGCTTTTGTAGAATGGAGAGGAATATAATCATTGATTTGCAACAAAGCATATTTGTTGAATGTAAAACTGAATATCTTGTCTGTAAACCTTCACAAAATCTACAATTTTAAAAAAATGCTATATAAGAGGATGTTTCTTTCTACTTCAAAGACAGCAGTATTTCACTACAAAGAAACTTATCTATCACAAAAAGACAAGTTCGTGTATACAATTTGGTTTATGGAAAAAGGGAACTATACTCACCTTGAAATTGTGAAAGGTCTACATCTGACCAATTCACACTGCTGGCAATTCGACAGCTTTCTTTTAGCATATCAAGTGTTGCATACCAATCGTTTGAAACACCTATGAAAGTAATATTGACAAGACTATAAATCTTGGATGGTGAACGTTTGAAGTGTATGTTAAGAAACAAAAATGAGCTGACATAGGCAGATTCTGGTCCAGTTTTACAAAGGAACTCATATCTATTATTTCATGTATTGGGATGATCTGCACTAAGAGGTAGGCAGGGCAGGTATTATTTCCTTCTATTTTACAAATAAAAGAAACTAAACCCCAAAATGTGGCATAACTTAGTAAGGCTGCCATGATGAAGCTAAGACTTTAACCCAGGTTTTCTAAACGCTGGTGGCAGCTAACCATAAGGTCAGTGGTTAAAACTCACCAATCAGTCCCTGGGGAAAAAGATGAGGCAGTGTGCTTCTGTAAAGATATACAGTCTTGGAAACCATATGCAGTACAGTTCTACTCTGTCCTATAGGGTCACAGTGTGATCTTGGGCAAATTGTTTCATTTATTTGAGTTGCACTTTTCTTATTTATAAAATTTGGTAATTTATACCACATTTGTGAAGGAACTATGAGATGTTTCCAAATTGTCTGCTACATATATGGGCGCTCAAACAACTGTAAGTTCTCTCTTTCCATTCCTTCCCTGTCAAAGACAACCTGCATAGTCCTATCTTGTTGCTAAATGCCAACAAGTTGGTTGCAATTCATAGTGACTTTGCATAGAGGGTTTCTGAAAAGTGACGGGTGGGTTTAAACCACCAACTTTTTGGTTAACAGTCTAGTGCTTATCCTATAGCACCATACCAAAACTTCTAGTTACATCTTATAAATGAGAAATTTATTATTATCACAGCTACAATGATTATTCCTAACTGCATTGTGGAAGTCTATTTTCTCTTCTGTTAATAGGCTGCTATAATCAAGGATTCTTTTCAGCTGCAGAAGTACTTTTCCCTGTCCTACTGGCAATCACTGTTGTTGTTAATTCCCACTCATGACAACAACACATGTGCAAAGTGAAACTGCCCCACAGTGTTTTCAAGGCTGTGACCTTTCAGAAGCGGGGTTGACGAAAGGAGCACCACAGACTTCTTCTGATACACAATCTCTCCCATGACTCTTTTCTCCAGACTATATTAATAGGCTTACATTTTTGAAGAACATACTAACTTCAAAAGACAGATCATAATGAAGGAATAACAATAAAACAGAACTACTAAGAACAGGGACTGTGTTACACATATATACCTTTCTCTCTAGGCATGCAACTAAAAAACACGTTTTAGGAGATATCCCATTTAGGCAGGATACACCCCCAACTCCTCACTTATTAGATTCCAGGTCATTATATGAAAACTGGCATTATGTGAAATGGAGGACAATCATATCAGATCACAAAATGGAAGATGATTACATCATTACACAATGCCAAATTACGTCATTATGTTGCTGTCAGCCCACCCAGCTTGACAGACAGCCCTGACATCAGTCAGTGTTGCTCGTCTTCCACCTGGATGTACACTGGTAACGCACAATACGATCGTATATGTGAATGTCAGACCAACAAGGTGTAGGTATATAACCAACTTTCAGTTATATTCTAGAGCCTAGTTAGAAATAGCCAGGAAAACAAAATCAACTGTTAAACACACAAATTAAAATATAGTTTATCACATTTTTAAAATATGCATCGGATTTTGTTTGTTGTTTTGGTTAACACTACAAGAAAAAATACTATGAAGAAAGCTTTCATTTCAGACTTTCAAGACCCTAAATATCTTCATGGATAATTAAAGGATAGGTTAGGTCAGTGGTGTAACATTAACTCTTACTGAGAACTTACTAAGTTACAAGAGCCCTAGTGGTACTGTGGGTTAAGCACTGGGCGGCTAACTTCAAGGTCAACAGTTCAAACTCACCAGCCTTAGGAGAAAAATGAGGCTGTCTGCTCCCGTAAAGATTTCGTCTTAGGAACCCTATGCAGGGTTGCTATGAATCAGAATCAACTTGATGGAAGCAGATTTTGTTTTTGAGTTCAAGGGACCCTAGTATGCATATTTGTACCTTACATCTCATTTAATTATCCTGAAAACCTTACATTACTTTTTTCACTTTGTAAATATACAGTTTCAGAAACGTTTAAGAAAAGCTTTATAACTAAGTCAGAATATGAGACAGTATGTATGCACACACTACCTAAAACCCATTCCCTGACAGTAGCCTGAAACAATGATCAAGTTTTAATTGGTGAAAAAAAACCTAGCAATTCCTAACATTTAGAAGTTATCCCTCCAGGATCAAACTCCCATCAGTATGGCTGAAGAGTAGAGACCCAGGCAAGGTGAGGCAAGGTTGCACAATTCCAGGGGGCCCCATACACCTTACTGTCTATGTCCAGAGCACTCTTGGGAGTTATGCAGGGCAAGCAAAGACTGCCGGGCCTGTGTGTAATGTCAGTTAAGCAGCTCACCAGAAATCACCAATCTTAAAAAAAAAAAACCATCTTTATGTTTCCTTCCTTAATCATTCTAAGATGAACTACTTGGCAGGTATAAGCAAGAAGGGAAGAGAGGAAACATTTAACATTTACTGAATACATAAGCACTGGGCTATTAATCACAAGTTGGCAGTTCAAACCTACCAGCCACTGAGCAGGAGAAAATTGAAGGTTTCTGCTTTAGTAAGGATTTACAAACTCGGAAACCCTACACAGGGTTGCTATGAGTCAAAATCAACTCGACAGCAGAGGTTTTGGGTTTAAATACAAGATACTAGTCTAGGCATTTCATATTTGTCATCTCAATATGATCCTCAACACTGTATGCCAGACTATTTTAGCTGCATTTTTATAGATGAAAAGAATAAGGCTAAAAGAAATTAAGTAATTTGTGCAAAGTCATAAATGCCAGTTGAGGATTCAATATATGTCTTTCCGACATCATCTAATGATCTTTCTTTTACACCACACTATATCTAAACATTCCGGTCTCCTTTCAAATCCCCACAAAAACACATGTATCTGATAGGACAAAGCAAAACCAAGACCTGAAAGAATTGCTTAGTATGCTCATGTTGCCACAATAAAGTTCAAGCAAGAAAATCTCCAAATGGATCTAGGGATTGAATGAGTTATAAGTCTTAAATCAGGAAACGAAAAGAGTCAGACAAGAAAAGCTTTAGTAATAAAGACTACATGAACCCCAAATTAAAAAATATAAAAAAGATCCCAATTCATTGTTAGCCAAATGCAAGCAAGGAGACAAAAACTTACCAGAATTACAGGATACTTGTGGGGGTGGGGGTGCTTGATGTGTTAACGTCTGGTGCTGATGGTTCGGATGGTGCTGTATGTGTTGGTGAGGAGATGGGTGCTGGGGGTGAGGGGACTGGAGCTGGCTGTGCTGCTGCGGGTGTGGTGCTGAGTGCTGGGGACGCTGCGGATGCTGTGGTAAACCATGCGGTCGATGAGGTGGATGTGGAGACGGCTGTGTGTGCATCTGTGGGTGGGACAGTGAAACTTGTGCAACTGAATTATTGCCAGCAGTACTGAGGGCACTGCCATGACTGTTGGACAGACTGCTTTGGTTGCTGTGTGGGTGAGAGCTCACTGTACTGCTAGGAGAATGCTGATAGGAACATGGAGTATGGGACTGCTGGGAAGATTCAGAAGGGATGTTCATCAAACCTAAAACAGAGAGAGCAAAGTCACTTGTGGTCAGTTTCAGTTATATTTTATGACAAACATTTGTACAATTATTTACAAAATAAAGGTATATACTGCCAGGAAGCAACTCTGGTTCAGTTTAACAAATATTTATGGATGATCCACCATACAATGGACTCTGAAGTTACTGAAAAGAGTAAAAAACATCACTCCCTAGTCTCGAGGAGCTCATGGTCTAGTTAAGACAGACAATCAAAGAGATAATAGCTACCAATATAAATACTAAGGCAGAGGAATATAGAGATTACAGGAACAAATTTGCTTCTTGCTTGTTCAGTATTAAGAGGCTATACAGAGAAACCCTTCTTGAAAAGACAATATCTGAATTGAGTACTAAAGATGAGTTAATATTAGGGAACATGTGGGAAAGGTGTTGGGTCAAACTCAGAATGGTTTTCTGTAGGCCTGACAACCAAGGTTTTAAGAAAAGGAGGCATGAATCAAACCCAGTTAGTATTTCTGATCTCTGTCTACTCTAAAGCTTTAGTCCAAAGTGACTGAGATCTTTAAGATTAAGGAAAACAAAACAGTCATCTCCACTTTCCCTTTTCATTACTCTTACATAATATTCTTGAGACATGTACAGTTTAGGCATTAAGAGTGCACACTTTTTAGCACCAGAAAGTACAGGATTTAAGTGTCTGCACTGCCATTTACACTACGTAACTTTAAAAAGTTACTTAATCTCTCTGAGCCACAATTAGCTCAATTATAAATGTGTATAATAACAGTACCTACTTCAAAGAGTTGTTGTGAGGACTAAATGCCATGGTGCAAGTGCAGGATGCAGGATGAACTCAGTAAATGTTAGCTGCTATGATGATGATGATGATGAAGATGATGATTAGGCCAGAAGTGCCTAATGTTAAAAATAACGTATGTTTGGTTTGCAGGTAGAGGTTCATTTTAATAAATCTTATTGCAACATTTGCTTTTATACAACTAAGCTATTTTCATATCTCAACAGATGATCCACATACAGTTTTGCTGAATCAGACACAAAGAATTTTTAAATGGAAACAAGACAGCCCTACATAGTAATCCCTGTCAGTAAAAGAACCAAAGTTCTCAACAAAAATAAAATCATTCTTATACTTGTCATTAATACTAAAATTGTACTTGAGTGCATTTCAAAACAATCTTAAAACCTATTAAGTTAATGTCTTATAGGTGGAAATGTTCATATACATTCTTCACTTGGTCTAGGAAAGCTATCTTTGATAAGGGCATTTTAGGGTTATTGTAGTAATTTTATATTTCCAAGAGGAGCTCTGGTACTGTAGTGGGTTAAGATTCAGGCTGCTAACCGCAAGGTCAGCAGTTTTAAACTACCAGCCGTTCTACAGGAGAAAGATGAGGCTTTCTGCTACCCTAAAGGTTCATAGTCTCAGAAAGCCTATACAGCATCACTATGAGTCAGAATCAACTCCACAGCACACCACCAACCAGCCAATCAACCATTTCCAACAAAGCCGAAGCATTTAAAGAGGAAACCCAGATAAGACCTATACCAACATTTCAATCTCTTATTTTAAAATAAAATAAAACAGAGTATCTCTCTCAGAAGCTCAATATGTAAAACCAATAAACATAAAGTGGCTTTTTTTGAAGCTAGGGAAAGAAACCTACTAGTAGCTCTTCCTCTTCATCCACTTACTTCTTCCCAGTAGTCCCCTAGACTTTAACAAAAGTCAAAGGCTTTGCAGGGAACGTTTAAAAAACCATTAATCTAGTCCAATTCTTTCCATACTACAAATTGGTAAACTGAGGATCAAAGAAGTGAAGTTAGTGCAGCTGATTTTAAGGTAGAACCTGGACTCTAAGTGCTGTCAAGTTGGTTTCGACTCATAGCAATCCTGTATAGGGTTTCTGGGGCTGTAAATCTTTATGGGAGCAGAAATCCTAATCTTTCTCCTGTGGAGCAACTGGTAGGCTCAAACCACTGACCTTGTGATTAGCAGTCTAGTGCTTATCCAACACCTCATTCCCAAGAACCTGGGCTAGAACCCAGAATTCCTATCAATTTTCTTTTTATTATAATGCAATGAAATGGCATTATGGTCTTCATAAATTGTTGCCATTGTTATTTTAAAGCTAATACAACTGTTATGATCACTGAGGTTGGATTTACTTAGAGGGGTATTGTGTTCGTTTTTAATTTTATAGATTGACAAGTTACAATTTTAGAAAATTGATGAATCATACTTTAAACTCAAATATGAACCAAAAAAAAGCTATCTACTGCACCAGCTGGAGTCCTGGTAGGACGCTGTGGGTTAATGCGCCAGACTGCAAAGCCGTTTGAACTACAAGGTCAGCGGTTCAAGCTCACCAGCTGTTCCTTGGAAACCCTATATACAAGGTTGCTGTGGGTCGTAATCAACTCAATGACACTTGACAACAACAACTGCACCCGCTGGCTAATACTCATACATAACATATATAATTTCTAACTTTCATAACTATGGTACATATTTAAGGACAGGGATTAAAAAGTGGTAGCATCCATTATAATAGAAAGCTACAGGCGAATTCCTTGAATAAAGATATAAATAGCTAATCTGCTAAAGTAACTAGGAAATACTTCGATAGTAAAGTATACAACAAATTCTAGCTAGTGTTCTACTGACTCAATCACAGGACTCTGGCTACATTTGTAAACCACCAGTGAGGGGAACCGAAACACATTCTAGCAACAGTCTAGCATTTGGTTGAGATGCACCAACATGCAACCACTTTTCTTTCCTACATAGCATAGATACAGCATCAGAATGCTTTCACACAATGATCCACAGGTCACCACTAATAATCAGTGAAGTAGACAACGTATATCTGCCATTCTTGTGCCATGATATAAATACATACAGAGCACAACAAAGGCACAAGGGAATAATATAAATATTCAAGCTTGCTTATGATGACGATGTCCTAATATTAAGAAAATGTTAACAGTTGGCTCTGTGAAAATAATTATTAAAACGCAAAAAACCTTTTCAGTAGAAATCTCACCTTGTTGACTAAGTGACTGCTCAAAGACCGACTTGTAAAGGCTCCGAAAAGAGGCACTGAGATCTTCAAAATTGTATTCTGAGAAAAGCAGTTGTTTGTCTCTTTCTGGGAGGTTGTACTGTGGCTGCTGCTGAGGAGTTAATGACTGAGAGACTGGTTCTGGATGGCTGGTCACCTAACATTAAATAAAAACACTACTGATTAGTGGCTCTATATCAGAATAGGAGTGTTACACAAAACTTAAATCATTAGTGCAAATAGTGAAACCAAAGGAAAGGATTTCCCTGTCTTTGGCTTTCTCATTCTGTTAAGTGTTGGTATACACACATAATGGACAGAACACAAAATTGTTCAATCAGAGCTTGAGGAACAATAAAACACAAATCCAACCTTCATATGTCACAGAGGAGGGGAAAGAGTTCAAAGAAATTATTTAAAAAATCATACAAAACTCTTCCAATTCTGAAGAATATTCATTTTGGTTTCTGCACAAATGGTTCCATCTCAAATTCTACTGTATTATAAAGCTACTAACAATTCTCATTAATTTATTCAAGTGATCAAATGTTTAACTCGAATACTGTGAGGACTGTTAGTCAGGTTGTGGGAGCACCCAACCAAAGCAGCAATGAACTTCAATACACCTAATTCTTCACTTCTAGGAGAAGTTAAAAAGAGACAGCAATAAAATGAAGGGAAAATCAAAATTAACAGGTGAAAGTCAAAGAAAATTTTGAAAAAGTAGAATAAACCAGGGCCTTGATCTAAGGGGGAAAAAAAGGTCTATAAACACTTAAAAATTAAGAATTATATATGAAGGCAGTACAACTACTAGTAAAATACACGAGAATCAGTTCTATTTCTTAAAGCTTATATTTGGTTAATGCTTTGAAAAGTTAAGAACACACATAGGAAATTTATACAGCCATTCAAAATGATGCTCATAAGTGGTCTGGGATAACACAGAAGAATAAGAACTTCGATATGGAAACAGCTCCACACAGCACCCTGGTGGCCTTACATATAGGCCATGTAGACAAGACTCAATAGTAGGCTGACCTAAGCATTGGTAGAACACCCTGTGATTATTCCAGAGCATGGGATGACAGAAAATCTTATGAAGAGCAAATTCTTATTTGCTATTTCTTACCCACCTCCCAATGTTGCTGGAGGCTGTGTAGTGTTCTATAGCAGAAAGTCATCTCTTAACTTGGGCCTAATGAGGTACATGATTTACTACATCTCCTATTAGAGGGCAGCTGCATATTATGACGGCTTAATGTGGTATGGAATTTGTTTCTCCAGTACAGAGTGGTCCACCACTCATGAAGGCTGTCATCCCATCCCTCTGGTTTTCTGTATTTCTGTGGGAAATGGGGAGCTGATCTGCTGTTCTGACTTACAATGTCCGTGTAAGTAATGACACCGGCTCACTCTATCTGTGCTCACTGTGTCCTTACAGCCGAATCTACAGAACTATGACATGCCCAAACAGTGGCGGCCACCATGTTGCTGCTTATGGAATACCTGGCCATTTTCTAAGTTAAAAAAAAAAAAGCAGTCTACAATATCTTCCATTTGTTTTTTTGTTTTTTTTTAATCTTCCGTTTTTAAAAGACAAATTTAACCCTCTGGCATTTATCGGGGTGATACTGTCATCTAGTTCTATACACGTTTAATTTTTCTTTTATTATATTTTGCGATATAAACTTTGTTCTTTAAGTTTCAGAGTTGTTTTCTTTTGGATAAAATTTTTACATATGAATTATTTTAAAACAACTTACAATTATTAAGTCTTAATTTGTTTCAATACTCTAACTAGTTCTTTTATGTCATCATTACTGAGTGATTTAATTTGATTCATCTCTTGAACAGCTACGTAATTTTTCCAGAGAGGGCATATGAAAACAAAATTAGGGTATTTTCTAAGATCTACAGATAAATTTTTCTCTGGCTTTCACACTGTTGTTCTTAGGTGCCATCAAGTCAGTTCTGACTCATAGAGATACTACGCACAGCAGAATGAAACACTGTCTGGTCCTGTGCCATCCTCACAATTGTTATTACACTTGAGCCCACTGCTGCTGCCACTATTCCCATCCATCTCGTTGAGGGGGTCTTTCTCTTTTCCACTGACCCTTCACTTTAAAAAGCATGATGTCCTTGTCCAGATACATATCTCTCCTAAACATATGTCTGAAGCATGAGAGATGAAGTCTCGCCATCCTGGCTTCCAAGGAACATTCTGGCTGTACTTCTTCCAACACAGATTTGTTTGTTCTTCTGGCAGTCTACGGTACTTTCAATATTCTCCTCCAGAGTCAAAACTTAAAATTATAATGTCTACCGTCTTTCTTATTCATTGTCCCAACTTTCACATGCATATGAGACTATGCTATTGCAAATACAATGGCTTGGGTCAGGAGCACCTTAGTCCTCAAACTGATATCTTTGCTTTTGAACAATTCAAAGAAGTCTTGTGCAGCAGATTTGCCTGATGAAATACATTGTTTATTTCTTGTCTGCTGCTTCCATGAGTGCTGATGGCAGATTCAAGCAAAATGAAGTCTTTGACAATTGAAATCTTCATTTATCATGATATTATTTATGCACCAGTGGTTGGGATTTTTTTCTTTACATTGAGGTGCAATCCATACATCAGTAAGTATTTTAAGACCTCTTCAATCAAGCAAGCAAGGTTGAACCCTCTGCATATTGTAGACTGTTAATGAGTCTTCCTTCAATCCTAATACCAAGTTCTTCTTCATATAATCCAGCTTCTTGGATTATTTTGCTCAGCATTCAGACTCAGTAATTATGGTGAAAAAATACAACCCTGGCACACACCTTTCCTGATTTTAAACCTTCAGTAGCCCCTTGTTCTATTCAAATGACTACCTGTGGGTCTATGTAGAGGTTCCTCATGAGCACAATTAAGTGTTCTGGAATGCCCATTCTTCCCAATGTGATCAGTAGTAGTTAGTCATAGATAACATATAAAATGAAAATTAAACTAAGCAAATTCTCTCAAAATTTTCTCATAACTCTGCATAAATACCAGAAAATAATGGCATTTAGTATTATGGAAGAGTAGTTTATTTTTTCACCCAGAATATTTACATACTCTCCAATTAAAAAATTTGCCATATATCCAGATGTTTCAGTTTTTTCATTAAATTTCCCTACATCCATTAACCCTTTAAATCTACATTTCTTTTAAAAAGAGCTTCTCTATTAACTATTGTGACATTTTTCTGCAGGAAAACCTGTAATTCTCAATCTTCTGTATCTACCATCTTTTCCATCATTTTTATTTGTCTATTTTTTCTGCACTTTGAGTAACTATTCCCTCTAAGAGGGCTAATAATCAGTACTTCAGAATCAACTTTCTTTTTTCTGGATTCACTGTAAATTTTAGTTTTGTTCTCTATTTTGTTCCTTTTGCACTACTTTATTTCAGGTCCCTCCTTTCATATCTTTGTCCTTTATATATTTTTTCCTATGTCCTGGAACAGAGAGTGATCAGTAAAGATCAAATATCAATAAACAGTGTGTTTGACTCTTGGGCTCACTTCTGTACATGAGGGAGGAGGATTGGTTGCCAGATGGTATGAAAAGAAACACCAGAGAACCAAAGAATTATGTTCTTGTAATCAGGTGACAAATCAGCACAGAGGCAAGGATATTTACATACAAGTCCTTTTATATATATTGTTGTTGTCAAGTGCCATGAGTGGGTTCTGATTCATATAGACCCTGTATAAGGTTTTGGAAGAGGAACCAGTGGTTTTGAACTGCTGACTTTGTGGTTCACAAACCAGTGCTGATCCTATAGCGCCACAACATAAGTAACTATTTTTTCTAGATCAAAATTAAAACAATAACACACTAGTTAATAATTAGATATAGTCTATCCTAACACTAACCTTTCCACCACTCTTCTGTCAGTTTGTCCTATTGTGATGACTTGTGAGTTGTTGTGATTCTGGAAGCTGTGCCACCAGAATTTTAAATACTACCAGGATCACCCATGGTGGACAGGTTTCAGATGTGCTTCCAGACAAAGACAGACTAGGAAGAAGGAGTGACGAACTATTTCAGAATATTTAGTCACTGAAAACCTTATGAATAGTAGAGAATCAATATCAGATATAGTGCCAGAAAATGAGCCCCCTGAGGTTGGAAGGCACTCAAAATGCAACTGGGAAAGAGCTGCCTCTTCAACGTACAGTTGACCGTGATGACGCGAATGGAGTAAAGCCGGTGGGAGTAAAGCTAGCCGGACCTTCATTGGCTAATGGGGCACAACTCAAAAAAAATGAAGAGACACAGCTGTAAACATGGATTAAAAATAAGAAAAAGGAATGAACGAAGTATAAATCTAGGAAAATATTAGAAAATTTCAAAAATGAAATGGAACATATAAACATCGATATCTTAGGTATTAGTGAGCTGAAATAGACTGCTATTGACCATTTTGAATCTGACAACCACATGGTTTACTATGCTGGGAATCACAAACAGAAGAGGAATGGTGTTGCATTCATTGTCAAAAAGAACATATCCAGATCAAGTCATGAGGTACAATGCTGTCTGTGATAGGATAATATCCATGCGACTACAGGGAAAACCAGTTAATACCACTATTACTTAAATTTACACACCAACCACTACAGCCAGTAAGGATAAACTAGAAGAATTCTACCAACTTCTTTGATCTGAAATTGATTAAGCATGCAATCAGGATGTATCGATCATTAGTGGTGATTGCAATGCAAAGGTTGGGAGAAAAGAGGAAGGATCAGTAGTTGGAAAATATGGCCTTGGTGATAGAAATGATGCTGGATGATAGAAATCTGAAAAATCAACGATTTGTTCATTTCAGATACCATCTTTAGACAGCATTAAGAGATGACTATGCACATGGACCTCACCAGATGGAATACATAGAAATCAAATTGACTACATTTGTGGAAAGAGACCATGGAAAAGCTCCATATCATCAGTCAAAACAAGGCAAGGAGGTGGAACAAACAAGATGGCGAATTGGGTGGAAGTGCAGTGAAGAGCTCCGCCAACAACACAGAACACCTGACAAAGCAGGCTCAGGGGATGGTCCCAGAACTCTGAACCACATATAAAGGAATATTTAGAAGGTTGGAAGGCTTACAGCTGGGAAATTTGTGGCAGAAGCAAGAAATCCATTGTTTTCTAGTCCGGGATGCTCAGCTGCTCCAGGAGCCGCCATCTTGTGTGAGACCAAGCGGGGGAAGGATCAGAATGGCCACAGATGCCTGGCAGAACCGCAGAGATAAAGGTGTGAACATTCTTTTCTTTTGGTAGCTGTTCATTGGTCCCTTGCTGTCTATGCACTTCCATTCTGTTCACCATAGGGGTGCCTGAGTTGCACTTCCATTCTGGTGACTATAGGGGTGCCCCAGCCCCACCCTTGGAGGGTTCTACTACGCATGCTCACAGATCTCCTCGAAATTTAAAAAGACAGTTACCAATTAAAACCAAATGGCCACAGCCGGCCTTGAACTGTTTACAACTAGAAACAAGGCCTGAACAGGGATTGTGGAGCGGAACAAGCAGACAGAAAAGGAAATAAGCCAAAAATTAAATCCTAAGTTACGTCAAAATGACCAGCAGTGGCATCCTGAAATTTCTCAAGAAGAAGAGTGAAAAGGGAAGCCAATTTCCTGATCATATCTCCCTGGAGGCAATCAGAAAGCATAAAAAATACCAAAATACATACCCATCTAAGTATTAAGGCCACAGATAACCCCTGAATATGCCTAAAAAACAGAAGCTGATGACCATATCTGCACATGTCCAGAAAC